GCACTAATACAGTTTTAATGGGGGACCTCAGTATATCACTGTCACAAATAGACAGCTCAACTAGACAAAAATATCAAATATCAGAGCTGAAGCAAACCTTTCAACAAATGGACTTAGTAGATATCTATGTAGTGTTTACCCAACAAGAGCAAAATGCACATTTCTCTCAGCAACACATGGGACTTTCTCCAAATTAGACTACATACTAACTCATAGAACATGTGTAAGTACATGCAAAGTAATTGAAATTATCCCTTGCATATTATCAGATCATAGTGCAATGATATTGGAAATCAATGACATAAGAAACCACAAAAACTACATAAATGCATGGAAATTAAAAAATACTCTCCTGAAAACCAAAGGGTCACAGATAAAATTAAAGAAATCAGACAGTTTCTACAAGTAAACAACAATGCCAATAGGACATGGTACTCAATGAAAGCTGTCCTTTGAGGGAAAGTTAGAGCAGTGAGTTCCCACATCAAAAAACAGTGAGCTCCAACAAATAACCTAACGTTCAACCTCAAGGATGTAGAAAAACAAGAGCAAGTTAAACCCCCAGTCCATACAGGGAGGAAATTATAGAGATCAGAACAGAAATTAGTGCTATTGAAGTTATGAAAACAATATAAAGAATTAATGAATCAAAGACTTGGTTCTTTGAAAAATTAAATAGACAAACCCCTAGTCAACGATATCAAAAAAGGAAAAATCCAAATCCATGCAATTGGGAAAGAAAAGAGTGAAATCACAACAGGTCCTGCAGAAATCCAGAAGATCATCAATACCTACTTTTAGAACCTATACATAGTCTAAGAAGACAGGAAACACAGAAGGAATTGACAAATTTTCTATGTACATATGAATTACCAAAGTTGAATCAAGAAGATATAAAAATTCTAAATAACCCAGTGTCAATAAGTGAAATTGAAGAAGTAATTTTAAAAAACTACCAACAAGGAAAAGCCCAGGTCTAGATTGATTCACTGCTAAATTCTACCAGAACTTTAGAGAGGATCTAATGCAACTATGCCTTAAACTCTAATGAAACTGAAAGGGAAGCAATATTCCCAAACTCATCCCTGAAACCAAGCATTACCCTGATATCAAAAGCAGAGATAGGTTGAACCAAAAAAGAACTGCAGGCTAATCTCCCTAGTGAGCACAGGTGCTAAAACCCCCAATAAGATACTGGCAAACAGAATGCAGCAAATTATCAAAAAGATTGTACACCATGACCAAGTAGGATTTATTCCAGGGCTCATTCAACATATGCAAATCAATAAATACCACATTAACAGAATGAAAGACATAAACATGATCATCTCCATAGCTGCAGAGAAAGCATTTGCAAAGTCCAATATACATTCATTATAAAAACCCTACAGAAAATTGGAATAGAAAGTCCTTATCTCAATCTGATAAAAGCCATGTATGACAAACCAACACCCAATATCATACATACTAAATGGACAAAAACTAAAAATTTTCAAAATTCAGAAACAAGACCAAGGGTGCCCACTACCACCACTCTTGTTCAATATTGTTCTGTAAACATTAGCCAAGCAATTAGAGAAGAGAAAGAAGTGAAAGGAATACAGATAGGAAAGGAAAAAATTAAATTTATCATTACTTGCTGGTGACATGATACTCTACATAGACCTCAGAAACTTCACCAAAGTACTCCTAGAATTAATAACCAAAAATGGCAGCCTAACAGAATACAAAGAGGACACTCAAATCAATAGAATTTCTGTACATGAATGCCAAACTCACTGAGACAGAAATTAGGGAAACAATATCTTTCACAATAGCATCAAGAAAAACGAAGCCTGGAGTGGTGGCACATGCTTGTAATCCCAGCACTTGGGAGGCTGAGACAGGAGGATCACTGTGAATTTGAGCCCAGCCTGGGCTACAGTCTCAACTACATCATGAGACCCTGTCTCAAAAACAACAACAACAACAACAACAACAACAACAACAACAACAACAACAACTTATGAATCAATCTGATGAAGGAAGCAAAAGATAAATACTTTGAAAACTATAGTACTGTATAAAAGATCTAAGAGGATATCAGAAAATGGAAAGATATCCCTTGTTCTTGAATAAGCAAAACTAAAATAGTGAAAATGGTCATATTTCCAAAACCAATATATAGAGTTAATGTAACCACTATCAAAATGCCAGAAACATGCCTTACAGAAATAGAGGCAACAATCCTAAATTCATTTGGAGCCAGAAGAGACCTAGAATAGTAAAAGCCATTCTGGGCAACAAGGGCAAGGCAGAAGGCATTGCAATCCCCAATTTGAAGTTATACTACAAAACTATTGTGATAAAAACAGTATAGAACTGGCACAACAAAACAAAATAAAACAAAAACAAAGCAGGAGGATCAATGGAACAGAATAGAAGATGTAGACACAACAAGCACACTCAGCTTCCTTATCTTTGACAAAGGGGCCAAACCCCTTCACTGGAAGAAAGATGGCCTCTTTAATAAATGGTGCTAGGAAAACTGGCTTTCCACATGCCAAAGACTGAAACTAGACCAATATCTCTCACTATGCACTAAACTAAAATAAAAATAGATCAAAGATCTAAATATTAAAACAGAAATAATAAATATGCTAGAAGAGAGAATAAGAACTGTTGAAGACATGGGTGTAGGCAGACTTTATGAACAAAACCTCAGTTGCACAGGAAATATTACAAAGAATCAACAACTAGGACCACAGCAGATTAAAAACTTTTTCCACAGAAAGAGAAACTACCAACAAAGTGAAAAGACAACCCACAATGTAGAAAATTTTTCACCAGGTATTCCTCAGGCAAATGACTCTCATCTAGTGTATATACAGAATTCAAAATAATCAGACCCCCGCCCCAAATTTAAAGACCCAATCCAAAAATGAGCATCTGAACTCAATAGACATTTCTCAGATGAATAAGTACAAACAAACAAATTATGAAAAAATGCTCAACATCACCAGCCATTTGAGAAATGCAAATTGAAACAACACTGAGATTCCATCTCATTCTAGGCAGAATGGCTATCATCAGGAAATCAATAACAAACACTGTTGAGGTTGTGTCAAAAAAGGAACCCTTCTTCAATGTTTTTTTTTTGAGACAGGGTCTTACTGTGTAGTTAGTTGAGACTGACCTGGAACTCACTAGGTAGCCCAGGCTGGTCTTGAACTCACAGCGATACTCCTGCCTCAGCCTCCTGAGTGCTGGGATTACAGGTGTGTGCCACCACACCCGGCCCTCTTCTTCATTGTTGATGGAAGTATAGTCTGGTGTAAATACTATGGAAATCAGTATGAATATTCCTCAAAAAACTACAACAAGAAGTCCCATTTGAATATTCCCTCATTAGATATCTTCCTGAAAGAGTTAAAAGCATCATACCACAGTGATACATGCATACCCATGTTTATAGCAGGACAACTTATCTTAGAAACAGCCCAAATGCCCAACACCAGATGACTAGAGAAAACATGGCATTTGTATGTAATGGAGTACTACACTGCCATGAAGAAAGACACACGACTAATTTGTAGAAAAATGGATTCACCTTGAGACCATGATTTTTTTTTGTACTGGGGATAGCACTGGGGTCCTTGTGCTTGTGAGGCAGGTGGCAGCACCACTGAGCTAAACCCTTGGCTCTAAGAGTATAATCTTAAGTGAAATAAATGAGACACAAAAGTTTAAATATCATACTGTGTCTCATGAGAAACTCAGAAGGCAAATAAGGAGAATAATGATGGATAAATATTTGGAATTAGGAAAAACATTTTCAAATAGGACAGGGGAACAAAAGGGGGAGAAGGGAAGGAAGAGAGATGGAAAAAGAATAGAAGGAAAAAATGGAAACAAAGCTATTGTAAATAAAGGGAAGAGAGGTTGAAGGGAGGGGAGGGGAATGGGAAAAAAAGAAAAATCAGGATATATTATGTATAGGTACAAATTCCTTATGATGATTGTGATCAATGTGTATGATAAATATGTACTAATAAAAAAGTTTTTAAAAGGGATAAAATTGGAGGGTCTCAGTAATGGATTCTAGTGAGAGTTAGATGTAGTAAGGATAGTGAATTAGTGAATACAAGAGGATGAAACAATAGAATGGAAGGACTCAATTGTTCCGGCAAGTAACGGTTGGGATAAGGTGTTGATGACATTGCCAAGAGAGAAAAGGTATAGGGAGAAGAGTAGAGATATGAGGATTCATATTTGTGGAACATTTCTGTTTAGTAGCAGGAGGGCACAGAGAAGTCTACCTAAGATGGAGCAGTTGGGACAAAAAAAACACAAGTATCTAGTAACACAGATAATAGAGAAAGAGTTTTCAAACAGAGAGATGGTCAATTTTGGAAAATATACCAGAGAAATATAGTGGAAATGACTGATAAGATATAATTTGACTTCAGAGTGGCAAATCATCATGAGCTTTCTGGAAAATTGTTTCAGGATAGAGATGTGGGTGGAAGTCAGATTGTAGGGAAGTTTAATGAACAGAAATTGAGAGATGATTGACAGATAGACAAGCCAATCATGATGAAATAATAGCAGGGTTACGGTAAAGCAAATATGTTTAGAAGGGGAAAAGACAGGTTATAGACCAAGAGGAATGTTTCAGTGTAGGAAAGACACAGAAGTTATGATTGTTAGACCAGAATACTCAGTGATGTAGGCAAGGATGGACTCAAGTGGATAAATTAAAGGAATAACCATGGAAAAGAGAATTTATCTTAGCCTAAGACTGAATGAAAGATTTTGTGATGTGAATGAGATTTCATATAGAGGAATAATGTTGGAGAAACTTGTATCTAATGCTCTGATCTTCTTAGAAAGTATGAGGTAAGGAGATCAGTTTTGCTGACATAAATGACCACTTTATTCACTAGTAGGATCTTACTCCCTCTTGTTTAGTAGCCAGAGTGAAAGTTTATTTTTGTAATGCACATTTTTCTTATTTTTAGGGATATTTCTTTTCTATATGATGTTAAATATGTAAAAGGAGAGACTAGAGAGAATGCAGTTTGTCCCCCACATTCAGACCATGCATTACAATCCAAAAATGATCACAACAAGAATGGTGGTGTCATCGTGCCTCATAAGGTAAAACATTTGATAATCTTCTCTCCCTCTTTCTATCTTTTAATAACTTCCCCCAAATATAAAATAATGTCATACTATAAAAATAGCCTGCATTGCTTATTGTGTTATTTCCTTTAAAAGCTATTTAGTGGGCAAAGACAAAAAATACCTTAAGGTGTTTTCCAACACTGTTGCCATTTTAGAAAATACAGTGGGAAGAGATATTTCCTTCTAGAAATCCACATACAAAGTTGTAGATTTCTTATTCATAGTATGATGCTAAGCTGAATTTTAGTTTTCCTACTGAATTAAAAAAATAATGAATTTGTTTCTTTTTGTTTTGTGTTGTTTTTTGTGATAAGATCTTGCTATGTAGCCCAGGCTGACCTTGAACTCTCAGTGATCCTCCTGCCTCAGCCTCCTCAGTGCTGGGATTACAGGGCTATGCCACTATGCCCAGTTTAATAATGAATTTTTGAATACACTTGGATCTCTATATCTGAGAGTTCCTCTACTGCATATGCCACCACCCAAAATAGGAAATATTTTTTAAATTGCATGTTGTAAACCTGTATAGACTTTTTCTTGTCATTATTCCTCAATAATTCAGTATCAGTTATTTATATAACATTAATATTAAGTATTATAAATAATCTAGATATATTTAAATAAATGAGAGGATGTGTATGGATTATATGCAAATAAAATAAAATTTTATTTTATTGCACTTGCAAGGCAGGAGGTGGAACCACTGAGCTAAATCCCTGACTCTGTGCCATTTTATATAGTAGACTTGGATATCTGCAGATTTTTGGTATGTGTGGGGATTCTTGGAACCAGCCTTTGTCAGATATCAAAGGGCGATTGCCCTAGAAATAAACTTGTTCTCAAATTCATGCTTACTTTTAAAAAGTAATTCTGCTTAAAGTTTTGTTCCTGTTGTTTGCTATCATGTACATTACTAAGATACTATTATTTCTGTAGTCAAGATCTCTCAACTTAGTAAATAGTATCCCTTTTGTGTATAGGAAAGGGAGAAGCTGAACTATTCTTATTCATAGATGACGTGATCCTATACATAGAAGACTCCAAAAAATTCCACCAAAAAGCCCCTAGAAATACTAAACAAATTCAGCAAAGTAGCAGGATGCAAAATCAATACACAAAATTCAATAGCATTTCTGTAACAAACAATGAACATACTGAGAAATAAATCAAGAAAACAATACCTTCATAGTAGCTTCAAAAATATTAGTATTAACCTAATCAAGGAAATGAAACACCTCTATGATGAAAATTATAGTACTCTGAAAAAGGAGATTGAATAGGATACCAGAAAATACAAATGCATCCTTTGTTCTTGGATAGTCAAAGCTAATAGTGTCACAGTGGCGATATATATATATATATATTTTTTTTTTTCATGAGCAAAAAGTTGCCTTAACAAAGGCGAAACAGGCTACATCTGTTGAAATGAGAAGACACGTAAATAAGTCTCAAAACCAGACTTTCACATCACCTAAGGCAACCCCAAAGGACAACAAGATGTAACAATCTCCACCACCTAGACTCTGTAAACTGGCAATGAAAGAGGACCTAGAAAAAATGAAATCAGAAATAACTTCTCAGAAAACAACAGAGATTGCATCCATAGTGCAAGTCATGATTAATAAATCTAGAGCAGACACAGATAAAAAATAGAGATGAGGAATATGATGGAATCCCAACATAGGAAAAAATGGAATCCATAAAACAGATGCAAGCAGATTTCCAGGAGATTAAAAACTCCATTGAATGTTCATGCAGCACAATGAACCAATGTGAGTACAGAATTTCAGATATAGGAGTCAGGATAGCAATTAGTGACCAGGAAAAGAAAATTTTCTCAATAGTAAGGGACCACGAGAAATCAATTCAGCAGCTGCTAGAAGATGCAAGGAAGAATAACATAAGACTGATTGGAGTTAATGAAGAAACAGGAGAGAGTGCAAAAGATATAAAGAAAAACTTCACAGAAGTAATGGCAGAAAACTTCCCAAGTAGGGGGGAAAAATCTCAACATACAGATAAGTGAGGCATATCGGACTCCAACTAGCAGTGATCAAAAAATATCTACACATAGGCATATAATAGTTAAACTTCCAGAAACTTAAAAGAACAAAATTCTACAAGCAGTTAGAAGAAAGAAATAGATCACATACAAAGGAAAACCCGTCAGAATCACAGCAGACTTCTCCACACAAACTCTCAAGGCAAGAAGAGCTTGGAATGACATATTTCAAGCCCTAAAAGAAAACAACCTCCAACTCAGATTGATGTACCCTGCAAAACTATCTTTCAAAATTTACCAAGAAATAAGGTACTTGTATTAAAAAGAGGACTTGAGGAACTTTATGAAGACCAAACCAGCACTCCAAAAACTTTTAAACAGTATCTTAGGAAAAGATAATGAGGATCACAACCCCATGAAGCCCAGCAGAATGATTCCAGTAGGTATAACAAGAAATTAAACACAAAGGAGGAAAATCCAACAAAAAGAAAAAGTCATGACAAGGATAAGTATGCATATCAGTTATAACCATCAATGTAAATGGTCTAAATTTACCAATCAAAAGAAATAGACCAGCAGAATGGATCAAGAAGCAAGACCTAACAATATGCTGCATACATGAAACACTCCTAATTAAAAAAGAAACTAATAGATGAAAGTTAAAGGATGGAAAACAATATTTCATGTGACAGGACTGCCCCCCCCAAAGCAGGTGTAGCTATCCTCTTTGCAGATCAAGTGGATTTCAAACCAACACTGATTAAGAGGGACAAAGAAGGATACTACATCCTTGTAAGGGGAAAAATCTAAGAGGAAGAGATGACAATCATAAATATATATGCACCAAGTACTAGTGCACCCAACTATATAAAACAAATAGTAATGGACATGAAAAATCAAGTAAGCACTAATGTAATAATAGTTTGGGATCTCAATACCCCACTGCCACATAGACCAACTAGACAAAATAAACAATGAAATATTAGAACTCAATAAAACTTTTTAACAAATGAATTTAACAGATGTTTACAGAGTGTTCCATTCCACAAAATCAGAATACACTTTCTTTTCGGCTGCACATGGGTCATTCTCCAAAATAGACCACATACTTGCTCATAGAACCTGTTTAAGTAAGTGCAAAGGAATTGAAGGTATCCCCTGTACATTATCAGACCATAGTGCAGATCTGTAGCAAAGGAAATCTAAAGAATTTTATAAACACATGGAAATTGAACAACACACTTCTGAATAAAGTGGGTCACAGAGGAAATTAAAGAAGAAATCAGACAGTTTCTACAACTAAATGACAATGTCAGTACCACATACCAGAATCTATGGGACACAATGAAAGCAGTCTTACAAGCAAAATTCATAGCAGTGGATACTCTTATTAGGAAAACAGAGTGAGCTGAAATATCCTGATGCTGAAGCTCAGACTTCTAGAAAAAGAAGAGCAGGAAAAACCCAAAGCTCATACAAGGGAGGAAATGATAAATATCAGAGCAGAAATCAATGCAATGGAAACTAAGAGAATGATACAAAAAAAATCAATAAAGCCAAGAGTTGGTTCTTTGAAAGAATAACCAAAATCAACAAACTCTTAGCCAACCATATCAAAAAAAGGAAAGACCCAAATCCATGCAATTAGGAATTAATAAGGTGAAATTACAACAGTCCCAGCAGAAATCAAAAGGATCATCAATACCTACTTCAAGAACCTATATGGGGCCAGGGATTTAGCTCAGTGATTCTGCCGCCTGCCTTGCAAGCACTAGGACCTGAGTTCAATCCCTGATACCAAAGGGGGGAAAAAAAGAACCTGTATGTGGGACAGAGATATTTAGCTCAGTGGTGCTACTGCCTGTGTCACAAGTGCAAGGTCCTGAGTTTGATGCCTGGTACCAAACAAACAAGAACTTATATGCCAATAAGGTGAAAAACACAGAAGAAATGGACAGATTCCTAGATGTGTATAAATTACAAAAGTTGAATGAAGAGACCTAAAAATTCTAACCAACCCATTATCAATCAGTGAATTTGAAAATGTAATTAAAAACTTGCCAACTAGGAAAAGCCTGGGCTTTGATGGCTTCGCTGCTGGATTCTACAATTTAGAGAAGAACTATTGCCACTACTGTTTAAACTCTTCAATGAAATTGAATGGGAAGCAGTACTCCTCAATTCATTCCTGGAAGCAAGCAACACCTTGACCTCAAAAGCAGAAAAAGACCCAACCAAAAAAGGGAACTATAGACCAATCTCACTAATGAACATAGATGCAAAATCCTTAATAAAATGCTGGCAAATAGAATACAGAAGATCATCAAGAAGATCATACAACCTGACCAAGTGGGATTCATCTCAGGGATACGGGGATGGTTCAACATATGCAAATCAATAAATACACTATATTAATAGAGCCAAGGACAAAAGCCATATGAGCATCTCAGTAGATGCAGAAAAGGCATCTGACAAAAACCAACATGCATTCATGATAAAACCCTACAAAAAATTGGAATAGACAGTCTTTATCTCAACTTGATAAAAGCCATCTATGAAAAACCAACAGCCAATATCATACTAAATGGTCAAAAACTGAAATCCTTCATACTAAAATCAGGAACAAGCCAAGAATTCCACTATTGCCACTCCTGTCCAATATAGTTTTGGAAACAGCCACAGCAATTAGACAAGAGAAAGAAGTAAAAGAAATAGAGATAGGAAATGAAGATGTTAAATTGTCATTATTCGTAGATGACACGATACTCCACATAGACAACCCCAAGAACTCCACCAAAAGTCTTCTAGACTTAATAACCAAATTCAGTGAAGTGGCTGGATACAAGGTCAGCACACAAAAATCAATAGCTTTCCTGTGCATAAACAACAGACTCACTGAAAAAAGAACTAGAGGAACAACTCCCTTTACAATAGCATCCATAAAAATGAAATGCATAGGAATCAACCTAATGAAAGAAACTAAAGACTTCTACTCTGAAACTATAGCACTCTGAAAAAAGAGATTTGAAGAGGATATCTGAAGATGAAGAGACATCCCTTGCTTCTGGGTAGGAAGAACCAATTAGTGAAAATGGCCATAATTCCAAAACTGCTATATAGATTCAATGCAATCCTAATAGAAATTGCAAGAGCATACTTCACAGACCTTGAGAAAACAATCCAAAAATTCATTTGGAATAAGAAGAGACCTAGAATAGCAAAAGCAATTCTAGGCAACAAAGACAAGGTAGGGGGTATCACAATCCCCAATTTGAAACTATACTACAAAGCTACTGTGATAAAGACAGCACTGTAATGGCAAAGAAACAGACCTTAGGATCAATGAAACCAATTAGAAGATTCAGAAACAACTCCAGACACTTCATCTTCAATGAAAGAGCCCAACACCTTCACTGAAGAAAGATAGCATCTTTAATAAATAGTTCTGGAGGGCTGGGGATTTAGCTCAGTGGTTCCACTGCCTGCCTTGCAAGTTTAATCCAAAGTTTGATCCCCAGTACCAAAAAAAAAAAAAAGTGTTGGAAAAATTGGGTTTCAACTTGCCACAGATTAAAACTAGATCTATATCTCTTACCATGCACTAAACTAAAATTGAAATGGATTAAAGATCTAACTATTAAACAGAAACAGCCAAGTATGGTGGTGCATGCCTGAGGCAGGAGGATTGCTGCAAGTTTGAGACCAGCCTGGGCTACATAGTTAGTTCCAGGGCAGTCTGAACTACATAGTGAGACCCTGTCTCAAAACACCAACCAACCAACCAAACAAACAAAAAAAACAGAAACATTGAACTAATTGGAAGAGAGGTTAGGTAGAAGTCTTGAAGACATTGGTGTAGGAAAAGATGTCATGAACAAAACCTCAGTTGCATGTGTTCTAGCTCACCGAGTAGCATCTCTTCTTATTAAAAAGCTTCTGTACACAAGAGAAACCACCAACAGTGTGAAGAGACAACCCACAATGTGGTAAAAAAAATTTTGCAGCTGTTCTTCAGACAAAGGTCTACTATCTAGAATATACATATAATTTTAAAAAGTCAGACTCCCCCTAATTTAAAGATCTGATAAAAAAAATGGGCATCTGAAATGAACAGACATTTCTCAGTCAGAGAAATAGAAATAGCAGATAAACATGAAAAAACGTTCAATATCTCTGATCATTTTGGAGATACAAATGAAAACAACACTGAGATTCTACCTCACCCCACAAAGAATGGCTGGCTATGATGACATAGACCAATAACAAATACTGGCAGGGCTGTGGGGAAAAATGAACCCTTCTCCACTGTTGGTGGGAGTGTAGACTGGTGCAACAACTGTAGGAATCAGTATGGAGATACCTCAAAGAACTAGGATTGGCATTCCAATTTGACCCAGTTATTCTCCTGCTGGTGTCTTCTCAAAAGAATTAAAAGGATCATACAACAGCGATATATGTGCACCCATCTTCATGACAGCACAGATTATAATAAAACTTGGAAACAATCTAATGCTCATCAATTGGAGACTGGATAAAGAAAATGTGTATGTTTTTTTAAAAAAATAAAATGGGCCTGCCTTGCAAGCACAAGGAGCCAAGTTCAATCGCCGGTACCAATAAATAAATAAATAAATAAATAAATAAAATGGAGTACTACTCAGCTATAAAGAATGAGAAACTAGAGACATTTATAGCTAAATGGATGCACATTGAGGTGATACTTTTAAGTGAAATAAACAGGACACAGACATGTAAATACAGAATTGTTTTCTGGCATGAGAAACTGAAAGTGTAAATAAGGATCAAAATGTATAACAGATAATTGAAATAGGAAGAAAAGGTACAAAGAGGAAAGAGATGTGAGAGAGGTGGGGGAAAGAAAGAAAGGAATTAACGTGAAAAAATGGAAACAAAGTCTTTGTATATATAGAGAGGTGGAGGGGTTGGAGGGAGGGCAGGGGAATGGGGAAAAATGAATCAAGATATATTATGCAAAGGTACAAATCTCCAATGAAGAATGTCATTATATTGTATACCTAAAATGTATCAATAGAAAAACCCAGCATGGTACAGCACAAAAATAGATATGTGGATCAAAGGAACAGAATAGAGAATGCAGAATCAATTCCAGGTACACTCAGACATCTGACCTTTGACATGGGTAGAAAAACAGGCTGAAGAAAAGAGAGTTCTTTGGCAAATAGAGCTGGGAACACTCGTTGAACATCAGTGACACAAATAAAACCAAGAGTCAATAAATGGCATTATATCAAATTAAAATCTTTTGCACAGCAACGGAAACCACCAACAGAGTGAAAAGACAACCTTCACATTGGGAGAACATTTTTTTCCTCAGCTATACCTCAAATAAAGGAGTAATATCTACAATATATAAATAACTCAAAAAATACTTAGACCCCCTAAATAAAAGACCCAATCAAAAAATATTCAATTGAATCGATACTTTTTAGGAGGAAACATACAAATGGCTAATAAGTACATGAAGTAATGTCCAACATCTCTGTGCATTAGAGAAACACAAATTAAAACAGTGCTGAGATTCCATCTTACTCCAGAAAGAATGGGTGTCATCAAGAAATCAAACAACACATGCTGGTGAGGTTGTGTGTGTGGGGAAGAAACCATCCTACATTGCTGGTGGGAATGTAAACTAGCACAACCACTATAGAAATAAGTATGATTTCCCCAAAGAACTAGAAATTTCTTTTGACCCAGCTATTTCCCTTCTAGGTATTCTTCTGAAAGTATTAAAGACTTAATATTATAGTGCTACATGCATACCCATGTTTATAGCAGCACAATTCATAATAGTTAAATCTTGAAAGTGGCCAGTATGTCCACAAACAGATGAATGAATAAAGGAAAGGTGATGTGTATACACAATGGAGTACGATTCAGGCATAAGTAAGGATACATTTGAGTCATTTGTAGGAAAATAATCTCAAGACCATAATCTTAAGTGAAATCAGATACACAAGATTAAATGTCACATGGTTTCTCTTACAGATAAAACCCAAAGTATAAATAATTCAAAGATCAAAATAAATGACAGATTATAGGAAACAAGAAGCTAATGGGAAGGGGATCTAGAGATGGAGGGAAGAGGGGGAGGGGAGTGGAGGAAAGGGAAGTAGTGAGATCGAGGTGTATGTGTGCTGCTGAAGTGAGCACGGGATGGAGGCGTGATGTGTGCCGGTACCTGCTCTGCAAGAGGAAGGTGTTTGTCACACAGGTGTACTAATAAAAATGCATAGTATCCCTTTGGGGTAGGAATTAGGTTCACACAGCTCAACTTTCTCACCTATTAATATATTTATTCTTCTCTTCTTTCATTTTTTAAGCCAAAGAGATTAACAGACAGTCTCATTCCAGAAGAATTCCATATTGTGTCAAGTACAGGAGTTTCAGGTTTGGAGTGCTATGATGAGTGAGTATATGACACATATCAAATACTGGACATACTGAACTATTTTCTCCTTCCTATGCATAGAAGAACCTGAAAACAACACAGTTATATCCTAATGCAGTGAGAAAACGTGGGCTAGCTGCCCTGATACAATTGAAGAGATATTTTTAAAACTAATGAAGACTCCATGGTTTGGGGTTGTAGTAATTAAATGACTAAATTGTTCTTTGTTCCTTTCTGCTAATTTTGAACTTTGAAAAATGGAACTTTGTTCTGAATGAACTTTGTTCTTTACTGTATCTTTTAAGTATGGCTTATACATTGTCATGACCATGCAGACAAAGGAAAGTAGTAGCCCTTTAAGTCAGAATCTCAGACTTGTCATCTCATTTTCTTGGATTCTCTACTGATGGGATTGAAAATGAGATCTTGGTTTTATTTTCTGAGACAACATTTGAATGTCTCATAGTTTAAAAAAGTAGAACTTTAGATTTTTGTTTGTTTGTTTTTGAGACAGGATCTTGCTATGTAGTTTAGGCTGGCCTTGAACTCACCAAATGGCTTTGAGCTTTTGGCAGTTCTCCTGCCTCAGCCTTCTGAGTGTTGGAGTTATAGTCATGTGCCACCACACTTGGCTATAAAACAACTAGAATTTTGGACTAAGGTTTTATAAGAAAGAATTGGAGAAGCTGTCACTCCTTGGTTGTTATGTGTGTTATATGGCATTTCCTGTGAGAGAGTGTTTTGAACAACAATTGGCCAGAGACAACTAAATGGAACTCATTTTGGGGGGTAACTTTTTATTTTCATTTGATTCCAAACTCATAAAAAGTTGTAAAAATAGGACAAGGAATTCCCATGTACCTTCTTGCCTGATTCACTGAGTGTTTATTATATTCGGCCTCATTTGCTTTTATACTCACACACACACACACACACACACACACACACGAATATAAAACTGTTAAGAGTAAATTTGAAATATCATATCCCTGTACCACCAAATAATGTATATTTCCCGGCAACCCATTAATTACAGATCTATGGATGACTTTTTTAGGCTACATAAATTTTTTCTGTATTTATTAGCTTGTAGTTTACCACCTAGACTCATATTTCTTTCATTTTTGATATTTTTTAGTAGCTCTTGAGCTATGTGACATTTTAAAATGTCATATTTATTTAGCAATTAAAAAAATTTTTGGTACTGTGGATCAAACTCAGGACCTTGTGCTTGCAAGTCAGGCACGGTGCCACTGAGCTAAATCTCCAGCCCCAATGTGTGTGTGTTTGTGTGTGTTTTTTGAAACAGGTTCTCATTATGTAGTTGGGACTGACCTGGAACTCACTATGTAGCCCAGGTTGGTCTCAAACTCACAGCTATCCTCCTACCTCAGCCTCCTGAATGCTGGTAATATAGGCGTGCAGTGTGTATTTTTAATATGGAATAGTGATGTTTGTTTTGGGGAATTAGTACATGCACATAACATATGTTGATTTTTAATCCCTTTCTTCCCCTTTTCCCTTTTCTTCCTCCTCCGCCATCACTTTCTCCATCTCCAAGAGTCTAACTTCTAGTTTCCTGTCATCTCTCCTCTATTAGTTAATTTGTTCATTTATTATTATTTTTTTAATTTTATTGAGTTTATTGGTACATTTTAGGGATACAGTACAGTTACATACATGCACATAATATGTTGATTTTTAATCCCTTTCTTCCCCTTTTCCCTTTTCTTCCTCCTCCGCCATCACTTTCTCCATCTCCAAGAGTCTAACTTCTAGTTTCCTGTCATCTCTCCTCTATTAGTTAATTTGTTCATTTTTTATTATTTTTTTAATTTTATTGAGTTTATTGGTACATTTTAGGGATACAGTACAGTTACATTCATTGTTGGGATCATGTACCTTTACATGGCAAGTCTTGATTCTCATTTTTTCCCCTTACCTCTGCCCTCCCTTCACCCCCTCCTCCCCTCCCCATCTACAAACACTTTATTTTCATCTTTTCATTCTCTCACATTTTTTTCTTTTCCCTTTTTGTTCTTCCCCTACGTATCACACCTTCCCTACACCTTTAGCTCCTTTCTTCAAATTTCTAAATGTCAGTAATCTTATTAGAATCTTATGCATTGTTGCAGAATATTCACACCAGGGAAACTATTTGGTATTTACA